GAAAAGTAAAAAGATATATGAAATCAGATCCATTAAATTCTAAGATTTGATTTACATTTCTAATTAAAATTGTTTTTGATCATACGTATAGATAATTATATAAAAATTCCAAAATTCTAAAATTTCAAATACATACAAAAACAATCATATGTAAATTTTAAATTTGTGAATATTAAAATTTTATATTTTAATTACATATTCACCCTGCGCAAGGCGCAGGTCTTATCCTAGTATCAGATTAAAAAGTCGATGCTTAGCTTAAGTATTTGCTTCTTCAGTGAAGGATCATTTAGCTACGTGCTTTACGTTTATATAAAAGACCAGTATCGATTACGTGCTACGCGCGGATATATGTTTTTGGATACAAAAAAAATTCTTGTTTAACTTATGTTATTCCTAATTACTGCAATTTATGGCTTCTTTCTCTTTTTACATGTAGTATCAAAGTACTACTCACTATAGTATTTCAAGGGTGTTTCCAGTCTTCATAATTTGTACAATAAGAAAACAATTAAACAATTTGATCCTATCAGTGGTGCTTTAGTAGAAGCATTTTTACCTTTTACAAAATTTGTTCATCCTATCTTACCACTTTCTGTGTTTGCTTTTTGTTTTCTTCATCCTTTCTTCTTTTTAACTGGATCTTTCCTTCTCCTGTTTTTTTTAAACATTATCTTACTATGTCCAGTATTTCTCAAATCTTTTTAGCCAATCTTAAAACAGTGAATGTCCACAAAGCAGACTCAACAAAAAAGTCAACAAAAATTGTGTTTACCTATCAATTGCACACTGAAAGGTTGGAGTCCAGTACTCTCTTGGAAGCTTCTCTCACAGCAACAAACGCATCCTGAAATTAAAAATCAAACAGTAAAAAAAAAAAAAAAAATTTGGTGTCAAACAAAGGGTGAAGAATAACAGGTAGAAGTGAATCCACTCCTTGCTGAGCTTATTTCTTTAACGCATCAGTCCTCACTCACAAATCTGAATCCATGGATTCTCTTTTTTGCCTCGTCAAGTCTCCATTAACAGAACCCTTGAAAGTTTTGCTGAAAAAAACAGTTAATGAGGCGTTACACTCGTGCTCCTCGGACGGGAGGCACCAGTACATCCTAACTCAAATCCATTTCTGAAATTAGCGCCTACCAACGGAAAAGAGTTTGGAAGACAATTATGGCCAAAGAATGTTCATATCTTTACTTGGAGAATATAATTAGGATATCGAGAAGGAAGAAGAAGTGTAAACTTTTCCAAATTTTCATTCGATCAGTTGAGAATTTTTGTCCTTCATCTATCAAACTATCGAAATATAGGAATATCGACAGTCTGTGGAGGAAGGAGGAAGATTGTGGCTCATGAGTTAGGGGGATTAGTGAAAAAGAAATTGTCGTTACAGTTTTTTTCCTAAACATGTTTGTTTTAATTGATTTTTCTTAATTCTGACACTACAAGAAAACATCACGATTCTGAGGAAAATAATCATCGGAATATCATCAGAATAAAGTAATTCCGAGGACATACCAACGACTACGGTCGTCGAAAATTTCTCTTCAAAATTTCCAGTTTCCTCGGATTTTTCTCGGTAAATTTCGAGGAACTACCGAGGACGATAATTTCCAAGGAAATTTCAAGAAACTATATCGTAGGACAAGATCGTCGGAAATGACTCGGATTTTTCCGATGGAAGGGTCCTCGGAAAGAGTCGAGGGAGGAAGGTGATCGGAATATTCCGACGATACACTTTGTTGGAAATTTTCGAGGAGTGGGAATCCTCGGAATATTCTGAAGACTTATGCTATCGAAATTTCCGAGGGATAGAAATTTCCGAGGAAGTGTATCCCTCGAAATTTCCGAGAACGACCGTTCGTCGGAAATTTTAGACGACACATTTCCTCGGAAAATTTCAAGGGATTCACTTTCTCGGAATGTACCTAAAATTAAATTTGTTTTACCAAAATTATAAATTAATTGTTGATAATTAAAATTCGAAATTATAAAATAAAATTTGAAACTAAAAATATATTAGATAATAATTAGAGTTGTTCAAATAAAAAAAACATTCAGAGTTTTGAAAAAAAAACTACGGGAATTGCTCGTTCAGGTACATCCGCCTCATCATCTCCATCATGCGTTTGTTCTGCCTCCTCGATTCCTCCCATCCCTTCTGTTGTTCCGCCATATCTGCCTCCAACGCAGCTATGCGGTCATCCTTGTCCTGCAGCTGCTCCATAACTATTGGATCAATAGGCGGTTGTGATGTAGGAGGAACCGATTTGGATCGACGACCCAAACCGACCAAACGTCTCTTCTTCTTTGGAACCGACTGAAAAAGAAAATAAACAAATTTTAATAATAGAAAATATTATAAAATAAAAATAAAGAAATATATGAATTGAATTTTTATAAAAACATCTTACCGATTCAACAATCTCGTTGATTCGAGCTCGGGACAGGGAGATCGAGCTCGTCGAAGTGGAGTCGAGCTTGGTTTAAAGGCTGGATAGACGGAGCTCTTCGTCGTCCTTGAGAGTGGTGATCAGGTCGACCACCTCCTTCACAAGACCATCATCAATCTCCCCGGTATGCTTGGTGGTATGCGCCCTCTTCAACAGTTTGAAATCATCAACCGGCTCGCCATCATTTTCTTCCGCCTAGACAAAAATATAAGTTAAAAAAAACATTAGAAATCAGAATAAATGCATAAAAATAAAATAAAAATACTTAAATAATTGAAAAAAAGAAGAGATTCAACTTACCATTTTATCTGTGAGAGTGGCAATACTCATGGCACCCAAGTTTTGTTTGACCACGCCCTTCCCGCCACGATTGCTATTGCGGTTGGTGAAGTTGGTGGTGGAGGTTACTTCCGTCTCGTCTTTCTTCAAATGCTCACACAAGTCCTTCCAGACCGTGTCGTTCATCGACTTCGGGACCTTTTAATAAATCCAAAAATAGATTAATAAATTAATTTTTTTTAAATAAATTTAAAAATAGATTAATAAACCGATACTTTATTGATGCGCCACTTCTTCTTCCACTCATAGATCTGCTTCCCATAGTTGTCCATAACTTTATGGATGAAGACGTTGCGGATAAAGGGCATATGATCGGGATGCCATGTGAACTCTTACTGAAAAAAACACAATTAGTAAAATATTAATATTAAAGATGAAAATTATAACTAAAAAAGTAGAATACATACCGCAAACTGACGAAACCACATCTCATGTTCGGCGAGAGGGAAGTGAGTGAAAGTCGGATATCCCTTCTTGAGGTCCGAGTACATCATCCGGTTGATCCATGAGCTGATCCTGTTCCCAGATCGGTCGAACCTATCAAAAAGGATCAAATTATTAATAATGAATTAACACTTAAAGAAAAAAAATATTCTTAATTACCATGTTTGACGTCGTCCCGTAGGATACTCGGTGAGATAGAGAAGATGCTCACGACCGGGCTGTTGAACCAACTGTTCAATAGTCATCGCTCTCAGAACGACTGGAGGATCGGGAGGGGGTGCAGCAGCGGGAGCAGAAACTAGACCAGGAGAAGAATCCTGAGAACCCCGAGAGCGGCTC